TAAAAGGAGAAGCTCCAATCAGACTTGGGCATGTGCCCCTAAACACCTTCCCACTTGACTCCCCCAGCCTGTGCTCCCCTCCGTGGGCTGCGGGTCCACCCGGCTGTGCCCTGCCATTGGACCCTACCCCATTTTGTATCCTCTGCTCTCAGCCTCTTCCTTTCCCTGGCTGGGGGATGTGAGCAGGAATGGCTCAATCAGGATATAATCGTTTTTAATTAACGTGCGGATCATTTCACAGGCTGATCTCCTTGGAGACCAGAGGGAAGACGGTCTTTTAAGATTTTCTTTTGCCTCCCTCAACCCCACCCCTCCCTGTCGAAGGCCTTCCCCCCTCTTCACCCACCCAGCCACAACCTTGAAGCAGCACAAAAGCCTGATGCCTGGATCCCTCCTGGGGCCATTAGGAGGAAACAGTGTGCTCACACACAGACATGCACACACATGCACGCGCACGCACACACACACGACCGAGCTCGGGGGCACCCTCCCCTCCCCCCAGAAATGCACAAATGGGATCAGAGACTGACACCACAGAAGGGACACACACACAGAGGCACGCATGCACAACACATGCCCAAGCTGGAAGGCACACAAACCCCTTAAGAAATGCACACACAGGATCACAGATGTGCACACATACACAAACACACCACAAAAACAGAGGCACCCACAGGCACACCACACACACAGACGTGCACACACAGACGCACATGTCCCTGGGGGTGCATCCAAGCACCGAGATACACCACAGAAATGTCCAAATGCTCACACTCACGGCAGGTTTCTCTCAACCTGGATGGTTGGTGTACTGCAGGGGAGGGGGAAGAAAGTCCCTGTCCTCTGATGGGGAGTCAGAGCCACAATTACCCTGTCCCCCACAAGCACCCCTAAAGCCTCTCCCCTGGGGTGTCCTACCACCTGCCCCACGAGGGACCTAGTGAAATAGAGAAGCCACCACCTCCAGGCCTTGCCTTCTTGACACCCACCGGCCAGACCTTCCCACCTCTGGCCCCCAAACAGCTGTTCCACTGGGCCCTGCACGGCCCACCCGGATGGCCAGCCTGACACCCGCACTGGGAGTGATGCCACCCAGCCACTTTCCTGGGTGCCCCATGAGGCCTTCAAGATGAGGGGGCTTTCTCTCTTTTTTCATTTCACTTACATCTTTTTTTCTTTTCCTTCTTTATCCTCCCCCCATTTTCTTCCTTCCAACTCCCTTCCTGCTTTTCTAATCCCTTGCTTTCTCTCCTACTGCCTCTGCTTACACTCTTTCTTCTCTCTCACTTTCTCTCTCCTTCCCTTCTCCCCAGGGGGTCTCCTGGGGTGAATCTCAGGCCAGAGATTTTAAGGTATACCCCATCCACATCACTCCTTCATACCACATATCTGTGCCAACACCTGCCTCTGCTCCTGAACAGATCCAAGGTTAGGTCTATGACAAGTAAACTGAGGCATGGGGCAGGGACTCAACCACTAGGGTCCCCAGACACCTACAGTCCCACCCCTTCACTGCATCTGCTTTGGATCCTCAGTTTTTTGTCTGGAGAATGGGATGGCAAAGAGGAAGGGGCACTGTGGTGGGTAGGTGGGGCGAGCAACAAGGAGCCTGTGGCCACCAAATCCTGTGAACATACCCAGTTGGGGGTGGCCTAGGAGGGCCGAGAAGCCTCTCTGGGGCTCCAGCTGGAGGCACCAGGGGTAAGCTTGGGGTTTCAGTCCCCCCATCTGTGAAATGGGCAGCCTTAAAGACCTCAGGAATCTTTTCAGATGCGAAAACCAACATGGCAAATCAGTAGCTGGGTCTTCACTGCTGCATAGCCCAGCAACTGCTGTGTGACCTTGGGACTTGCTTCCCCTCTCTGGGCTCTGGCTTCCTCTTCTGTCAAAGGAGGGAGGTCAGATAGGTGATTCATTGCCAAGGCTCTTTTCGGCTCTGGTGGAAGATTCTAGATTGTGGGGAAGGAAAAATAGTGTCCCACTTATCCAGGGAAAACTAGAGAAGCCGTTTCTCCCACTGCAGGCAGTCGGAGCCTTCAGCATCAGCAGCGGCATTTTGAGCAAATCATTTTAAATATCAAGAAAAGCTCTCTATACAAAATATATCCACTACATCATTCATCAGGAACATCCAGAATGTTGGACAAAAGAGGAATATTAAGTAAATTATGGTACATCCACTTGATTGGAAAAGCCTGAAGACATTAACCATGGTGTTTATGAAGCACTGGTTACAAAACAGGAAAAGGCTCACATTATGCCGGCAAAGAAAGCAGGATATACATCTGAATATAGAGAATGACGACAAAGTCTTTAAAAAACAAACCAACCACCGAGTCGAAAAGGACTGGGAAGAACTACATCAAAATACTAACATTGTCAGAGCCCGCTAAGACTGTCAATAACCTTATTTTTCTCTTTTTTTTTTTCAGCATTTCTCTGAATGCTATTTTACAATATATATTTCAAAAAGATTTTTAAAAATACACAAAGGCTAGATGCTTCCAATTGAGAAACTTTCCCTTTTCATTCATTCATCACTGATTCATTCACTCCTGTGTTTGGCTGGACAAACACAGGACACTGTGAGTGTCTGCTGTGTGCCAGGCCCTGGGGGCTCCAAGGAAGAGAGGAAGAAAAAGGTTCTTGAAAATGGAAACTCGAGGTCTGGGGAAGGGAAGGCAGCCCTACAAATAAGGGGGTTGTGCCATGGGGCATGAGCAGCATTGAATCCCTGCTGGTTTCAGTCCTGTCTCCCAGAGCCTCACTCAGGCCTCCCTCAGCCGCTAGGGTCTCAAGGTCCAACCTATGGGTCAGACACCCACCCTTAATGGCCAGGCCTGCAGCTGAGTGGGTGGGCGGGAAGGGTGGGGGTGGGGAGCAGGGCAAAGGCTTGCTCAGGAGCCTGGGCCAAGGGTAGAAGGGCCTCTCCCTTCCCTCTACCCCAGACCCATGGCGACTTCCCTTCCAGTTCCCCGACGGCCCTGGCTTGTAACCCCTCTTCCCTCCGGGCCAAAAGGCCACTGCCTTGCTGCCTGACCCTCTCTGGGCTCTGATTTCCGCCTCCCACAAGGTCCCTGAACAAGGCACCACCCAGCTGGGTCCTGTCGGGCTTTGAAGGGGGAGTCCAGAGTCTAGAATCTGCTAGCTCCAGTCAGCCGGTGTCAGGCTGTTAGTATGTCAGAGGGTCCAACAATGTTTTCCTGCTGTGTGGGGGCTGACAGATTTCTGGGGGAGAGTTAACTCTCTCTATTCCTGGACCAAGAGACAGAAGAGCCTGAAAACAGTCTAGCCGCCCCCCTCCCTCTCAAAAGGTGCCTCCCCTCTCCCCCAAGAATCCTCATTTTAAGTAGGGAGAGGAATTGCCTTCACCTGCCTGGGTGTCTCTGAACCTGGCTCTCCAACCCAGGAAGAAAAAGGGGAGGGGGCACCTTGATCGCCTGGCTGCTTGCCTGGGAATCCAATTAAGGCTGATTTCCACGGGCTCTCCACTCCTCAATGCCAGTCCAGCTAGCCCTTCGCTCTTCCACGTCTCCCCTTCCTCTGCATCCCCCGATGGAGCAAAAGAATCTGGGGGCTTTTGAGTGCCAGGAAGCCTCTGACCCGGTGGTCCCCCCTTGGACTGAGTCCCTGCCTCAGGACTGCGGTCCCCAGAAATTTTCTGGGCTAGCATTTCCTTCCCATGGCCGCAGTGGGAAAGGAGAAGTTCCCACCACTCTCCTCCCCCTTCATCCTCCCCTCCTCCCGGCCCTGAGGGAGGGGGCGAGGCGTCCGGATCTCCGGGTCATCGGAGCAGCGTCTGCTGAGGATCGCAGGAGACAAACACTTCGTCACACAAGCACAGCACCCTCGGGATCACCTCTTTCAGACCGCATTGTACCGGAGGGGAGGAGGCTGAGGTTGGAGGGGCCCTCGACGTGCCTAAAGTCACCAGCCAATCGCCAAGCCCAAGAGGGGCTGCCATCCACGACCCCCGGCCGCGAACCCAAGCCTCTCGCCTTTGCCGCGCACACCCCCCAACCCCCTCCCTGCCCCGGCGCCATCCCAAGTCGACGTCTCTAACCCAAACAAGCCCCTCCCCCGGGAGCCCCCTCCCCCTGCCCAAGGCCCAGGGTCAGCAGCCCCAGGAGGGACCTCCTCCCCACCCCACTCCCCCACGGCAGAGGTGCGAGATTTCATTGTCAGCCTGGCCACTCGACCGCGCGTGAGACTGGGGCGCAGGGCGTGGGGGACCACTGGGCAGGCTCTCGTGCGGGGAGTGGGGAGGGGTCTCCAGGGGAAGTGTTTGAAGCCGCTCCTGCAGCGCTGTCCATATCCGGAAGCCGCCGGGGAAGGGAGGAAGGCGGGGGTGGGGAGAGCGCGACCTTAAGCGCTGGCGGGCGGCGAGGAGGGGCCGCAGCGGCCCAAGGAAGCGCCTGGAGGCGTCAGGGGCGCTGAGTCCCCAGGGAGGCCGCGCTCCCGGGAAGTTTCCCACCGGTTGCCCGGAGCAGGATCGGGCGCGCGGATCGCCCTTCCCGGTCCGACCAGCTTCGGGGCGCAGATTGAGAACTTGAACAGAACTCCTTCCTTCTCTGGCATCTCTCGCCTCCCCATCCGCGGCCACCAGCCCCGCCATCTCAGCCCCATGCCTTCCGCCAATACCACAGTCGCCAAGACCGCTCACCAATGCTTTGTGGAGGAAAGGGGAGGGGGGAATCCCCAGCACAACCAAACTGCGGCCAAACGCGGCCGAAAAAAAAAAAGAAAAAAAAAAAAAGGAAGAAAAATTCCTTCTCCTGAGACCGATTCCCTCAACCAGCGTGGAAAACCCCCAGACAGGCAAATCCGCAACTCCAGCCAAGATCCCGGCGCAGCGGGAGGGGTGTCCGCGGCGGGCGGCGACCCCAGTCTGCAGCCCCGGGCTCGGGGCAGGTCTGCGCGCGGCGGTGGGCCGGGGGCTCAGGGAGTCCTGGCGCCCACAGCGGCCCGCCGAAGACACAAAGCTCCGCCGCCAACAATACCTGCGGGCTCCTCCTGGGTCTCCCGGGCGCCGGCGCTGCGCGTCTCGCCGTCTCCCTTTCCCCCGCCGTCTCTCTCCTCCTCTCGCGCACGCTCTCCCTCTCGCCTCTTCCAGAACGCGGTGGCCAGATGAGATCCTTGAGAGAAACAAATGTGAGCGCTCGCACGATTCCTTTCTCTCGCCAGCCGCTCGCAGCGGCCCCAGGCTCGCTCCTCTCCCTCGCGCTCCCGCGCGCGCCGCGCCTCTCGCACCCCGCGTTTCCTTCTTAGCAGCCCCTGCGAGCGCCCTCAGTAGCCATTATTCACAGGCCGCCGGGGGACAGGAGGTAATTAGAGACGGCCCCGTGGCCGCATCCACTCGGTAAGCGCGGTGCTGGCGCGGGGCGCGCGCGGGGAGGGGCGCGCGACGAGGGGGCTTGGCTGCGCGCAGCCCGCGCCCCAGACGCGGGGGAAGGGAGGAGGAGGAGGGGGCAGGGAAGGAGGAGGCGGGCGGGGGGACGAGTGATGAGCTCTGGAAGGGAGCAGGAGGAGGGGGCGCCGGGGAGACGCTCCCTTGGCTCTCACCGCGGGGCCTCGGGGTCACCGGCTGCGAGGCTCCGAGGCGCTTAGGGACGGGGGGTGTGAGTGTGAGAGTGCGCGCGCGCGCGGGCGTGTGTGTGTCAAAGAGAGGAGGGGAGGGAGGGAACGCTTTAATATTTTTCTAGTGACTTACGAGCCTGCGGGTGAGGTCTTGGCTGTGCGTTTAGGTCCGTGTGTGTATCAGTGTGGCTGTATATTTCTGGTCTGTCCTACGAGTGAATGTCACGGGGCTTGGAGGGAGGGGGGTCTGGATACAAGCTTGTGAATGTGTTTCTGGGTCTCGGCGGGACTGAATGATGCGGCGCTGCGTGGGGTTGTGTGTCTGTGCGATTGTTTATAGGGGGGTTGTGCGACTCCGTGAGGTACTGCGTGGGTGGGATTGAGCCTGTGTGCGGTTGTGTGTGTATGGGGTTGTGCCTGCGTGGGGCTGAGTGTCCGGAGGGCAGTTGTGTGGCCGTGTGGGTCTGTTTGCGAGTGGGCTTGTGGGTGTGTGGGGCTGCACATGTAGGGGCAGTGCGCCTGTGCGGGGCTTTGGGTTAACGAAAAGGGCTGTGGTATCTGCAGGCGGTCGTGTGTGTGGCTGGATCTGCGTGGGGTCTGAGGCCTGGCTGGTGGGGGTTAGTCCTCCTGGCGTCGGGGATCGCACCGCGGCAGAAGAGCCGCTTAAGGCGCGAACAGGCAGCGCCGGGGTCGCGGCGCAGCGCGACGTGTAGTAGCGGTGGGGCGTAGAGAGAAGGCGGAGAAGAGGGGGGCCTTGATCGCGCACCTCCCCTCGCCGCATCAGAGACGCAGCTTGGAGATCCTGCCACTTGCCGGCCCCGCGGTCCTAGAGACACAGGGTTTGGGGGACCCTCCCCAGCTGGGGGAGATGCCTACGGGCCGGGAACGCAGCGAGAACTGACTCGATGATCCCGGGGCAGCACAGAAGCACGCAGCAAGGACCGCCCGGAGAGGTGGGTCGCGGCCCGGAGACAGCCGAGAACTAGGCCGAGACAAAGAAGAGCAGGACCGGGGACCCTGGGGCCAAACCGCGCCTCTAGGTTCCCCGGCGGCCGAAGGGAGTGCGCTCGAGGCCGGCGCGTGGAGCCTGGCGGCGGTGGCTCGGGCCCCTCTTCGCTGTAGTCCCAGCAGCGGATCCAGAGCCCTGGGGGCACGTAATTACGCACCCCCGGGCAGGGCCGCGGTGAGGGGGGTTCTGAGTGCAGCTGGCGGGCGCCGAACCCTGGGGCTGTGATTGAGCGCTCAGCTGGCCCGCCCCTCTCCGGGCCGCTCACCGCCCACGCAGTCATTCATTCATTCATCCATCTATCCCTCGCTGCATCCACCCACCTTTCTATCCATCCACGTGTCCATCCATCTACCGGATTTACCGCACCAGGGATCACACAGATGTGTCAGCCCTGGCTAGTCCTACCACTTTCTCCCGCTGGCCAGTGAGTCTGTCTGTCTCATTCTCCTGGGCCTCCACCTCCACTTCCTCCTACTCAGGTCTCTCTGCTCTGGCAGGAGCACACAGACCACCTGTCACACTTGGGTTTTGCTGCTCAGTGATGTCTCAATCTCCCCTCTCCACCTACTAAACCCCCACCTTGCCCATACTAAAGTCTCCATACATCCTACACCCAACCCTGCCCATCATTACCTGCCAGGTGGGCCTCGCGCACCTTTTTTCTGGCATTGCCTGAGGCCTGGTAGGAGGCTTCCCTACCAGAAATGAATCCCTAAGGTCCTGGGCAGCCCCGCCCTGCTCTGGGCTCCCCATATTTAAAATGTCAGGCTGCTTAGTCTCTGTCTTCAGTATCTGTCTTGGGGACCAGGGTCACTCAGTCCTGAGGCTGCTGGATGAACAAGGAGATGTGCATTGTGTATACCATTAAGGTGGCAATGGAAAAGCCCAAATGCCCGCTGGGGATCACCAACCTGGCTGGAATGTCTTCCCTCCCCTCCCCAGTTTCTGAGTGATGAAGAAGTGAAAGTTCCCCAGGTGGCTGATGACAGCCCACACAATCAGGCCCCCACCACCTCCTGCCCTCAGTCCCGCCAGTTGCCGCACTCACCATGTTGCCCCTTGCCGTTCCTGAATTCACCAGGCACACTCTCACCTTAGGGCCTTTGCACTTGTTGATCCGTCTGCCTGGAATGCTGTTCCCCACCTTCTAATATACCATGTAATTTACATATTTATGTATCTGCTGGGTATTTTTGTCTGTTTGTTCCTTTGGAATGGTTCCTGGTACACATTCCATAAGCACTTCTTCAATGAATGAGTTAGTGAATGCATGAAAGAATGAGGTTAAACCAAGCCCTCCTCCAGTAAGCCTGACCAAGCTCAGGGTTTCTCTTCTTGGAGCCAATAGTTCCGCTGGAGAAAATGGGGGTGGGGGTGGAAGATGAAGAACATCAGGGCCAGGACACGTCCTAAGACTCAACTGACATTGCTCAGTGAGTACCCTTCACAGATTCCAGGTCGCTCAGTGAGTAGCCTTCACGGATTCCAGATTCTGGGGATGGGTGTAGAGGGATGGGATGGTGGTGGGTGGCTTGTTTCAAAAAAAAGGCAGAGCCTGTCATTTGTTCCAGGGGCTTCTCTTGTTCCCTGGCTCCCTGGGGACTCCCTGGAGCTCCTGGGGCAGTGGTACAGAGGGGTATTGATTCAGCAGGGCTGCCATTCACATCTGCCAAAGGGTGATGGAAACCGCAACCTGGCCAGGGCCCTTCCATGAGTGGTATCATGGAGAGTCACAAGACAGTACCCCAAGGTCAGGATCTGACCATCTCCTAGAGGAGAAACCCAGGCTGAGAGCTTGCAAAGAACTTGTCAAGACCACAGCCACACAATTGGATCCCATCCGACTCTCAATTTCAAGATTCTTTGCTCACCTCCACCAAGCACAGTGCATGGCGTGTGGCAGTGCAGCAGCTTAATATGGATCAAATGAATGGAGTGGCAACCTCACAATTCAAACCTAAGTGTGCATGAACCCCAAAGTCTTCCTTACTCCATCAGACCCTACTGGCAGAATTCCATGGGATCATGGTGCCAGCACCCAGCACTCAAATGTTGCTGGAACACCAGCAGAGGAGGCTGCCTGGCTGGCAGGCTTCCTGCTCCCTAGGTTCTGACTTCACCTTTCACCAAGAGTCTGCCCCAAGGGAATTAGGATCCTCCCTCGCTGGGTTGGTAGTGGTGCTCACAGGTTTAAAGGGCCCAGTCCTTCCTGGTGAAGTGTGACTGTGTTCTGGAGAACCTAAGTCTGGACAGGTCAGCCCTTTTGTTTGCCAAGCACTATCTCAATAGCTACTTTCATGCAACCGTGTGTCCAGACGCCATTCCAGAGCTAAATAATAAACAGGAGCTGTTGACCAGAGAGGCAGGGTGGGTAGAGGGCTGAGGACTCTAAGCAGGGTCCTAGGGAATGCAGGCAATGGAGCCAGCCAAGGACAAAGCTCGCTGACAGGCCACCAGGGACACCCAGGTGGAAACAAGGGAGAGGGAGGCCCACCACGCCAGGCTGGTACACTACGACCCAGAAGTCGCATTCAAGCTTAGCCCTGGTCTGGTAAGCCCCATGCTGGAAGCCTGCAGGCCTGAGGTCAGATGTGGGCCAGGTTTTAACATCTATTCCACATATGTTTATTGAGTAGTGGGGCAGCAACTTCAAATCTCTATGTATCTCCCCCCCGCCCCCTCAGTCAGCCTCATTTCAGAGACTGGATCACTGAGGTCCAGGAAATGCACTTGCCCCCAGTCACGTAACTTGAAGGTGGCAGAACTATGCATACATTGGCTTGGTACATATTAACTAAGCACCTACTAGATGCCAGGTTCCATTCTACGGGTTGAGGATTCAGAGCAAGGAACGAGACAAAGCTTTCGTTCTAGTCTTGACAGACAAGAAACAGAATGAATACGTAAATAGTGTAGTATGTTACCTTAGGTGAAGCATGCTATGGAAAAATAAATAAAGCCAAGGAAGGGGACTGGGAGCATCTGCAGGAGCTGTTTTTCTACACTGAGTAGTCAGAGCTCATACTTAAGAGCATTTGAGAACACACTTGACAGACGAAGGTAGTGAGGCATGCAGCTGTCTGGGGACAAAGCTGTGCAGGCAGAAGGAAGAACAAGTGCAAAGGCCCTGAGACAGCAGCCAGGCTGGGATTTTCAAGGAATGGCCAAGAGGCTAGTGTGGCTTGAGGGGAATGAGCGGAAAGAGATGGGGGCAGAGAGGGGACAGGGGGCCACACCTACAGGGGCTTGCACACACACCACTGCAGGGACTTTGGCTCTTAGACTGAATGAGATGAGGTGCTTCTGCAGTGTTTTGAGCAGGGGTGGGACACGCTCTCCCTTGGGTGGTCAGTTTCTCCCTGTGAAGAGAGCAGATGTGGGGCCAGGGCAGGAGCAGAGAAGCCTGCATCCTGCACTAGTCCAGGTGGGCAATGATGAAGCCTGGCCAGGGTGGGGCCGAAGAGAAGGGGTCAGATTTTGGATTTATTTTGAAGGCAGGGTTAGCAGGATTCACTGACGTATTTTGCCTGAGCAACTTGCAAGAAGGATGGTTATGGCTGCTGGGATCTGCCATTCATGCTAGTGGGGCTGGTGGGAGAGCAAATGCCTCAGGAAGGAACCCTGCCCCTCCTCAGCCTCCACTGTGCCTGCCCGAACACATTCATGCCCTTCGTGCCAATGTGGTAGCTTAGAAAACTGCTGAAGAGGCCCCATTTTTAATGACTGTACCAGGAGCTGTGCCCTCTCCGAGTCAGCAGGGGGTCATGTACCCCAGTCACCTTCCCAGTTTCCCAGCCTTAATATCCCCTTTTTATGAGCATGTTGATCCAGGTCTGCAGCTGCCAGCCCTCTTGCCCCCATGGATCCAGTTTTGTCTCCCAGACCAACTGCCCACAAATACCTCTTTTGGTATACGTTTATGGAACCCACCATGTTCCCGGCATTGTCCAGGGCACTGTGGGACAGCAGGGAACAGAACAGACATCCCTGCCCATGTGGGGCTGGCATGGTCCTTCAACAACTATAGCCCTGTTCCCTTTTCTCCCCATCAAAACCCTCTAATGCCAAGCACTTCCTGAGCAAGCTGGGGCTACCATGTGGAACTGAGAGCAAAACACTCGAGAAAATGCTTTTCTTTGAAAGCAAAAAGCTTGATATTTTAGCTGATGGGGGTGGGGAGCATCGGGAGTATAGAGATCCAAGTTCTCTTACATTTTTGGAACATTTTCAAATAGTTTTTGTTCCCCTCAGTGTCCCCACTCCCCTGATTCCAGGATGGAGGCTGATCTGGCCCACCCACCCTGACCCATGCAGGTTCTGGCTGGAGTGACCGCAGAAGTCTTGCCTTGGTGGCCACCTCCCCACCAAGGGAAGGGGGCGGGAGGGAGCACATCTCAGTCTCTGCCCTGGGCTGGGGTCTGCACAGGAATGCTGGTGTTGGGCCAAGACTGAGGCGTCTTCTGCCTGCCTCTGATCTGAAGGACCTTTGATCTCTTCTGTCTGTAGTTTTCCCTGCCATCTGTGTGTCTGTCCATCCTTCCCTACTTGACTGCAACAGGCCACCAGCTGAGGTCAGTGCAGCTTCAGGCTCAAACAGGGCAGAATCCGAGCCTAAGCCCCCTCGACCCCCGCTGTGGACCCTTCACTGGACATGGGCTCCAGGAAGATGGCCCCGCCTGCAGGCCTGTGGCTGCACCTCCACGCAGCCTCCTTCTCCTGAGGCATCCAGACTATGGGTATTCATCTTCCTTCCTCAGCGCCAGTGTCTGAGTGAAGTCAAAGCTGCTGAACTTGAAAGAGGCAAGGCCCTGGGGTTCAGAGAACCCAGGTGGGGGGCAGGAGGCTGGCTGGGGAAAAGAGAGGACTAGGCAGCTGCAAAGGGAGACAGATTGGGGGCTGGGGAGGACGACAACAGATGAAGGAGAGGGGAAAGAAAGGCAGGAGGAGAGAGAGGGAGGGTTACAGAGCCACAGGGCCAGGCGCCAGAGGGTGCCTAAGGAGAGGCACTGAGAGGCAGGTAGGGGTCTTCTCCCAGCCTCACTTGGGAAGCACTGCCCTGCTCACCCTGGCATGGTCCTTGGCAACCTTTGTTCCTGGCTACAATGAAGCCACACACTCTGGACACATCGGGCTGGCTGGGGTTCGCTGCCATGGCCATAGGAACAGCTGGGCACAGGCCTGCTTGGTAGCAGGACCCACAGGTGCCTTCTTGCCCCTGCCCCTTGTTCCCAGGGCTCAAACCTACCCCTGGGCCAGGAAGCCACCAAAGGGCTTGGGGCAGTGGTGTGGCTGAGGCCTAACCTGTCTTCTGTGCCATACAGACTGATCTGCAACTACAGCCACAGACTGACCCTTAGCCATGGCAGCAGCCACATTCTGACTCTTGACCCTGGTCGCTGTGATCCCTCCCAGTCCCAACAACAGACTGACTCCCAGCCTCTTCCACAAATGGACTTCTGACCTCAGGCACAGGCCTCAGCCACAGACATCTAGCTGCTGCTATAGACAGACCTCTGAGCCTGCCACAGCCTGAGCCTCAGCCCTGACGTGGGTGGGGTCCCCCGGTGGTGGGCCTCCCGTGGGCACATTCCACCAGGCCGCCCAGGGACATCGGGATGGGCCTGCTCCATGCCATCCCACCCTGAGGTGAGTGGCAACATCGACCCCACCAGTGCCCCACGCTAAACCCACGGGGCTGTGGTGACCACAGCAGAGTCCAGCAGCACCACACAGGAGGCCCCTCCATCCTGCCCTGGGCCAGCGTGTGCAGGCCAGACCCACACGCAGACACGCCCAACACAAAACACACCCAGAGTCAGACAGAATCACACAGTTACCTCATACACAGCCCCCAGACCCTCCATACACTGTGCACCCAGACACGCAGGCACTACACACGAGTAGACACGAAACCACACACACACGCATACAGACACGTGTGCACACACACAGAACCCTGGCCCCCGCTCAAGCAGCGCACACACATCCAGAAACATGGGTACACACATCTGTGTGTATACACACACAATCATACAGACACACACACCTACATGCAGAGATGTATACACATATACACATGTATACATATAAATGACATGTGCATATGCAAGAACATGCAGATTTCTCTATGTAGAAGTCCACACACACCCAAGTGTCAGTCACCTGCCTTCACACGTCTTTTGTTCCCTGGCCCCAGGGCTCATGGGTATCTCCGGGTGGCCTAACCACTCCACAAGTGACCCCTCCAGCCCCTTCCCAACTCAGCTCAGAGCTCCATGGGCTTCTGCCCTCCCTGGACTTGATGGCAGCAGGGATGCTGCCTCCAGTCCTTCTCCTGGCCCCAGTTGGGTGAAGACCTCTCAAGTCCCGTGACTTTGTCCTGACTGGTGGCTGCAGCTCCTGCCTAGACTCAAGCTGGCTATGACATGCCCTTACGTCTTTGGCATGACGTGGACAACTCCTTCTCTGCTAAGGGAAACCCATTCCCCCGCCACAGTTTGTCATCTGCAAAATGGGTAACAGCATGTTGCACAGCCTTCTAGCACCCCTCCACTCCTGACAGGAGAGCACAGAACGGACAACAGGAGGAGGATGTGGAATAGAATATGTGGGATTCCCAGGGGCGACTTGGCCCTCTCACAGTCTCCAAGTTCACACCTGCAAAGGGGCGAGGATCGGATCGGGCAGAGCCTCTCTGGGGCCAGGATGAGTCCAGGGGAAACTTTGAATGGAAAGCCCTTTCTGGGGGGCATCTGAATCTGTGGAGATCACTCCTGGAAGGATGGAGGAGAAACTGCTGGAAGGTCAGGAGCAGGAGGGACACTTGCTGCTGTGCTATCTGAATTTCTACCACGTGAATGGAAGGGGCCAGGGAGGCAGAGGAAAGACGCCAATGACCACACCACTCCTCGAGCTTCTCCTCCCGGTCTGGTGTCATCCCAGAATGCCCTGGTGGAACCCAGGTGGCTGCACCATGGGAGGGGGTGGTGTGCAGAGCTGGAGCTAACTCTGCCAAGCAGCCCACACGGAATCCTCTCAGCCATCCTCTGAGGTGGGTGTCCTTAGCCCATTTGAGAGATGCAGACGCTGAGGCTCTGCAAGCAGAAGAGAGAGAGAGGCATGGGCCTGGGTGGAACCCAAACCAGTGTCCGGTCTCACAGCTTGTCGTGGGGCTGCTTTTTACCTTCCACACCAGGGCCCAGGTCAGAGGAGCCCAGTCCAGGGACAAGTGCAGAGGAAACAGGCAGAGCCCCTGGCTTCAGATGTCCCCTGGCTCTCCAGCAGAGGACCAGGTAAAATGATGGCTCTTGGCCTCCCACATACCTTAAGCCAGAAAAGGCATCCCCTGCTCACCCCCAGTGCAATTCCTGGCTTGGGCCTGTCCTGGCTGTGTGCCCCTGGGCAGTTCTACACCTTCTCTGAACCCAAGTTTCCAGAACTGAGATGACGGATTGCATTTCTGCTCCTGCTTACCTAACAGAGGGTGATGTGGGTGGGATGGGAAGCAGCATTCTAAACTGGGAAGTCCATGAGGTGGAAGGCGACATTACTACCTCTCTCCCCAAGCTCAGCAAGAAAGCTCCTGGGCCGAGACAAGGAGAATCCTCCCAAAGCCAGCACCTGCAACAAGGCAGCTTGGAGAGCAGACCTGCGGACCGGACCCTTCACCCGTCACGACAAGTGGATGGCCCGAGCTCAGCCCACAACCAGGATTTCCTTCCAGTCCTGCTTCTGTGCCCTTTTGCAGGGGAGAGGCTGCCTGCTGCTCAGCTTCCTTATTCGACCCACAGTACTCCCACAATGTGTGCCAGGAGGCTCGCATCCAACTGCTTCCCATTACGTTTCTGAGCCTCAGGTTTTTCACCTTTAAAATGGGGAAGAATAGCAGGGCCCGCCCGGGATGTGCTGGTGATAAACAGAAATGAGTGCATGAATGTCACTCAGGGTTGGCCACGCCACAAGCCCTCCGTAAATGTTAGCACTGATGATTATCATTCCCTCCTGGACTATGGAGAAGTTTGAGTTTTCAATCTCCAGGATTAGTATCAAATTCCAATTTCACAGCCATGGCCTAGACACTGAATGTGGAAATCCTACTTGGTTGTGCCACCAGGGTACAGGTCCACCCACGCTTTGTCCCGAGAGCTGAATGACCACCGACACAGGCTCTGGGCTACTGGTCCTCCAGTCTCTTCAGAACCTCCCAGTGGCCAAGGTAGGCAGGGAGAGGCTGGGAGCCCCCTTCTGCAGACCCAGAAACTGGGGTTCAGAGAGGGAGCTGAGGAAGCAACAGGAAGACAGATTTCACCTCCATATAAGGAAGAGCTTGCTAGCAGGCAGGGCTGCCCAGAAATGGAAGGAGGGAGCTGCTCGGGAGGTGGTGAGCAACCTGCGGCTGAAGGCATGCAAGCAGAACGGGGCAGCCTCTGGGTAGAGGCATCGTGGGCGGCTGGGACACTCTCCAGAGGAGGGCCGCTGGGATCTCTGGTCCTGTGACTTGACCAAGGCCATGTGAGCAGGAATGGAATTCCAGAAGGTCAGAGCCGGGGACCAGAACAAGCTCCTGCTCCCAACCTCCCACGTGAAAGCCGCGCAGCTGGACGGATCCACAAGGGCTAGAGAGAGAGCCTGAGCCCCTCCAAGTGGCTCCCCCATCCCTGGCCCTAGTCACAAAGTCTTTATGTTTTTAGAGACAAATGCCTACTTTTAATTTTTAAAAATTGAAAAGTACACACAAGTAGAATGACCAAAAAAACAAACAAATCCAGAATCCCCTTCACCCTGTGACAATTACTGTGAATATTTCCTTACAATCTTTTCTTTCTAAAAATATTTATTTATTTATTTATTTATTTATTTTTGAAGTTTTGCTCTTGTTGCCCACGCTGGAGTGCAGTAATAAGATCTCGGCTCACTGCAACTTCTACTTTCCAGGTTCAAGCGATTCTCCTGCCTCAGCCTCTTGAGTAGCTGCGACTACAGGCATGCATCATCATGCCCAGCTAATTTTTGTATTTTTAGTAGAGACGGGGTTTCACCATGTTGGCCAGGCTGGTCTCGAACCCCTGACCTCAGGTGATCCGTCCGCCTCGGCCTCCCAAAGTACTGGGATTACAGGCATGAGCCACCGTGGCTGACCTATTATTATTATTTAGAGACAGGATCTCACTGTATCACCCAGGCTCTAGTCTCGAACTCCTGGGCTCAGGTGATTCTCCTGCCTTGGCCTCCCAAGTAGTGGGGACTACAGGCACCATCATGCCCAG